TTGGTTTCAGATATATAAAAAACATGTCTATGAAGTGTTTTGCTCAAAATACCAAACAGATCACACATTCTAGCCATGCCTCATATCCCTCTATTTCACTTCCTGTTTCAAAAGTGCTGATTTTGTGTATAAAGCTTTAAAAAAAGAAAGAAAATTGATTAAAAAAAAAAGGAGGGGTCTGAGCTCATGCGGGACCCGGCAGCTACTGTCTAAACTAAATACTGCCGTGATGAAACGCCATATCATGGATTATCAAGGATTATCTCTGAAACAGTATGGAGCTCAAAGGCTTTCTCTCTTGCTGGTTATACCACAAGTTGAGTTCCTTTTTACTTCCTGCTTCTTCACACACATGCTCTCCAGTACAGGTTAGCTCTGAGTGTTAGCGATGCTAATATAAACACCGACCGTATTACGTCCAAAACAGTCGGGCATTGTTTCTGATAGCAACGTTTCTGATAGAGCTATGGGTCCACATTTCAGATATTACGTCATATCGGACGCAAATCTGGATCAGCTCTGTTGTATCCCCGTTTTTAGAGATTTGGGTACAGAGGAAAAGAGAGAGGGTTTTGTTTTCTGATGCTGCGTGAGTACCCCGACACACCGGGGACACATATTTATGTATACAAGACATGATAGATCCCCTTTACGGTTGTTTTATTGTGTGTTCTAGCTGGAGGGCCTGCAGAAGAGGATCTTCCAGCTGGAGGAGCAGCTCCACAGTGAGATGCAGCTGAAGGATGAGTTGGAGCAGAAATGCAGGTACAGAACAGGACTTTCATTCATAAAGATACAAATAGACACTTGCATAGTCAAAGCACAGGCATGATGCAAATTCTTTGCTCCTCCGATCCGTCAAAAAACACACCACAGCATTACAGAGGTTTAGGAAAAACATATTCATATTTACTTCTAAGAAAAAAGTAATTCATTGTTTTCTAGTCAAATTCGGATATTTGCGAATGTAGAAAGGGCCACAAATAAGTGATGTGACATATGTGTTCTCTGGCCTTTGGTTGCAAGTGTTTGCATGAGTATTCTTCATTGCTTTTAAATAGTAAACCAGACTTTTCAATGTGCTCACTTTTTATTTCTGTTCTCCACAGGACATCGAGCACCAAGATCGAGAAGATAATAAAAGAACTGGATGAAGAGGTTAAATGCTGACCATTTTCTCAACGCTCTTCTTATAGATATCCATAACTATATGGATAAAAAGAAGCATCTACACAGCTTTTGTCTTGGTTGAAAAATTCAGAAAGTTTGACGATAGACAACATTTTAGACATTCTGTTTCAAATCAGGGGCTAGATTGAAGATGGTTTTTCCCATCACAGCCACGTCACAGCTGTTCTGTTCCTTGCCACAGGCGAACCAGAGGAAGAGTGCCGAGGCCGGCGTGTCTCTGATGGAGAAGGACAAGATCATGCTGCAGCACAGATTCACAGAGTACCAAAGAAAAGCTGACCAGGATGCAGAGAAGAGGCGCAATCTGGAGAATGAGGGTGAATGTTATGAGCTGCTGCTGATGCATGATCCAGACACTGCAATTAAAGTATAATTGGAGAGTGGAGCACGGAAACAGCTGGTTATGAACATACTTTTGATGAATGCCCTATCCTCTCACTATCACTTGATCTGGCCAAGACATATACCACCTTAATAATAGCTGGTATCCTGGTTAGGGCTGCACGATTTGGGGAAATAATCTAATTGCAATTATTCGGACAGATATTGCGATTTTGTTTTTAAGCAACCCAACGGAAGTTTATTGTAAAATGCGGCCATATCTCCGGCTAGGAAGGTCGTATCAACGTGCTCCCGTCTCTAGCACCCCCGCAGCCCGAGCTACGAGTGAAAGAACTAAACTTACATGAAACTTCCGTTGGGTTGCTTTAAAGTCAAGCTTCAGTTTAAGATTCACCCTGTAATAGAAACATGTGATGGAGCATTACTAACCTGACTCAGATGGTTTCAAAAAGACTTGGCAGGTGATTGGATCAATCTGTCAATCACCTTCTATCATGGGCCACTTCTGATTGGTTAACAATGGCTGGTACATGTGGAGCACAGCACTTCTGATTGGTGTGGATAACTGACACACAAGAACAAAAAAAAAAAATGGATTAATCGTTCAGCCCTAATCCTGGTGTGACCTTCCTATTGCTCACTGCTGTCTACGCATCTATTTAAATGTTAAATCACGCTCATGTCCGTCTAACTTTCTTATTGATGTGCCGCAAAAACAACATTAAGTAGATTTGCAAGCAATACACTGTTAGAGTTAAAGACTACATGCTGTGAATGGTATTTAGTTAGATTTGTGTTTTTAAAGGACATTACTTGAGGTTGAAATAGGAGCTTATATGAAGCTCCGTCTAATTAATTTCTGATTTGTTTCTAGTGTCATCTTTGAAGGAGCAGCTTGAAGATATGAGGAAGATCAGCCAGAACTCTCAGGCCTCAAATGACAAGATCACCCAGCTGCAGAATCATGTATTCTTCACACACATGCACGCAAACACAACGTCAGTCTAGTGGAGGGCAATGCATCAAACCTCATTTTCCTTCCCCTTCCTCTCTATTGTGATTGACAGATGGAAGAGGCCAATGACCTCCTGCGTGCGGAGTCAGACACGGCAGCGAGACTGAGGAAGAGCCACACGGAGATGGCCAAGTCCATGAGCCAGCTGGAGGGCTTGAACCGGGAGCTGCAGGAGAGGAGCCGCGCCGTGGACGGGGAGAAGGCCCAGCTGGAGAAGGAGCTCCTGCTGCTTCAGAGCAACCTGGACTCAGAGAGGAGGAACTACAGCCTGGGATCTGAGGAGATCATGGAGCTGCAAGGTGACCCACTGACACACAAACGATGATGAATGCAAATCCAGCACAACAATCTGGTTTGATGTTTATCACAGAGTTCAAAGTACCTACGAGCTAAGGCATAAGAGTATTGTAGTATATTAAACCATTTCAGTGTGGATTAAAATCACTTTTAGAATTGTAATCTCTTAGCTGCAGAATTGCCACGTAATAGAAGCTATCCCTATCCCTATCACAGCAGCCAAATCACCGTCTGATTATCCGTGAGCAGGCTATCTTTTAATAGAAACAAGCTTCTGTAATTCATGGAATTGAATGGGTAAAACAGGCTTCAAAGTATCTTCCCTGCGGGGTATTAAAAAGTATTAAAAGTTGATAAATCAAATAAGCGAATATTAAGGCTATTAAAAAGTATTAAAGGGCATTTTCCAAGGTATTACATTTTGTAGCTTGTTTTCAAT